CTAGCCTCTCTTGACTTCTTTATTAGCAAGATCACCATTGACCTCACTGGGAAGACTTGCTGTATTTAATTGACTTAATTTGGAAATGCATGCCATCTAAACCTCAGCCACCTAGTCTGTTTGGTCAGGAGTGAGAGACAGACATCGTCTGAGGGCAGTTCACTCTTATCTACTTTAGGCGTCTAAACCGTGACCAAAGAGCATAATAGAGCCAAAATCTGTGCATGCTGTGCCATAGTCTGTAGAAGTCTCTGCAGTTAAAACGCGTCATTGTTGTGTAGTTACTGTTACCAATTACAGGGCAAGATAGAATGTCTCTTAATTAACTTAATAACCTGATAGGTACGTTTAGACATAGCTAATTAGGACTTTCTTGTAATTGGGCCCATGATTAATAGACTGTGAAGACTGTTTCATTTGTATTAAATGCATGGACAGTCACAAGGAAATTAAAATTTGAACCTTCATTGAATAACTAATAGAGGACCTCAGGATAGTACAATAACAAATGATTATTCTATTTATAAAGAATTAATATATTAAGCTGCTACTTTAGACCTGTGTTTTTTTCCAAGATCCTTTGCAGCCTCATCAGTGTGTGTGCATGAATCTCTCTTGGAAACATCCACAAATTGACTTGTACAAGTTTTTGTTTTGGGTTTTTTTAATACAGTCTATGTAACATAGTTTAGTAAAACTAAATGTAAGAACATGTGAAGTTACCATTACAGAAGAAAGTAGAAATGATTTGCACAATGCAAGGTTAAATTCTTGAAGGAGTTAACTGACAGAGCTTACATCATCTTGCCATTCTTTCTCATTCTGCCCTCAGTCAAGGCAGAACCAAATTTGGAGCAATATAATGGGGAAACAGCAGAAACTGATGTATTCACCCTAGTCTGTAGTAACCATGGAAGTTCCCTTTCACTCCTTTTCTGTGCTCCAGTGTGTCTCATGGGTGCACAGGGATTTCGTCTGAACAGGCTTCCTCACTTGTTACACAGTTGGAAGGAAGAGACTGAGAGGAGTCCTATTGATAGAAAAGACAAAAGGACATGGAGTGAAAGGAAGACATAGCAGTGGAAAGAAGATAGGAGGAGAGAGATTATGGGTAGTGAACAGTTCATTCGGCAGCATGGACACCCAATCTGCCCTGGCTTTTTATTTACTGTAAGGCACACTGTGCACAGAAGAACATAGTTTTCTTATTTGAATTGTAGAACACTTAGAAATTTCAACCAGAAATGCAAAAAGTATAATTAATGTTTCTAAGAGATATATGTGTCTTGCATTTCTGTTTTCATGCATAATTGAAACTTATCTGATGATTTTTTCATCAAGAAATGATTCTCAATTTCAGTGATCTTGTGCCGTTTTCATTCTGCTCTTAATGCAGAGGCGTCTTCACTGAGAATAGTTGGTTTTTTCCCTTTTCTTTTTCTTGTGAAACCTTGCCTACTTAGCACATTGTGAGTCAGATCAGACTGCTACTAACCAAAAAGGAATTTTATTTTTGTACCCTGTACACTTTAGTTTTTCTTATTTAATACATTCACTTTTGTCATCTTTTTTTGAAACATTTCAAATGTGTAAGAGTATATTTAGACTACCATGTAGTATGTTATTCCTGCTGTCTATTAAGATGTCATCCAAGCAACAGATGAGATCATCAAATAAACTTTGGGTAATTTAATCAGAAGTTTAAATTAGTTTTACTAGCAAATGGTGATAAAATGAGAATACCCCTTAATAGGCATATATAATCTGTAATGTCTTTTCACCTTCACTGAAGTATATGTTTTTTACTTGAAAATGAGCCGAGTGCTCACTAAGTACAGTTACTGCCTGTCTGAAGCTTTTTTTTGTGTGTGTGTGTGTGTTTTGGTTTTGTTTTTCTTTCTCTTGCCTCTTCCACCCCTCCTCCTCATGACATAGCCAAGCAACAGTCAGATAACATATTTCCATGTAATCGCCAATTTGACGGGGATTACAGAAGTCTCAAAGGAAGCATGAACTTGAAGACCATATGTTGGGGGCTGTGCAGATGGAGTTAGGTCCCTTGATGAGCTGGGTGGCAGAAATTGGTAGAAGGGCGGTAGTGAGGGTCATGGAGTTATGATCTTACTTCTGGGATCTCTGACTGTGTGTGTGGGAGAAGGATATGGAAGAGAGATGACACCTCCTGTATGTGAATGTGGATTTACACAGCTATTCTGATGCTACCCTCACTACTTTTGTTATTTGTTCTTTGCACGTTCTCCAGAGTTCAGGAACTCCATGGAAAGTGGTAAGTTGGAGACCACTTTCAAACCTTGCTTGGAGCAGCTTGAGAAGCAGATCCCTGAGAGCTTCTTTTCTCCCCTTTTGCAATGAAATACTTGCAGTAAAGAGCTTTGTCTTTAATGGCAGGCTTTGTAATCTGAGTCACATTTGGGTTCATTTTAAGTTGCATTTACTTTTAAAGACAACTCTGAAAGTGCTTGAGGCAAATCAGTTTGAGGCTTATTACACAGAAAAAGTAGTATTTTTTTGAACTGCATACTCTTTTCAGTTTATGAGGATTCCAGCAATGTTCCTTCCTTTTTTTTTTTCCACTTTAGATGTAAAGGATTGGTACAACAATTTGTTACTCCAGATAGGTAAAAGTAGCCTATATCTACAGTTTTTTAAACTTTTCTAACTGCTATCACAGAAAAGGACTGTTTATTCTCTGGGACAGTGCAGATTGTCATATCACTCAGGTCTTATCAATATGTTTACAGTAGATAAAAAAAAGCGGTCCTTTTGTATAGGATCCAATTTCACATCACCTCAAATAGAACTTTTTTTTACTACTTTGTACGATTATGTTCTTTATTTTTATTACTAGATCTCAGAATGAGGTAAAGAATCCTGTAAGCAGTTTTAATTTATTAGATCTCTTCATGTTAATTAAAGATTATTCCTTCCTGTTACAACCAAGTCAGTTACAAAGACAACAACCAAGTAGCCTTTGTCATACATTGACATGTAGGCATTCTAAAAGTTTTATTTTTGTGTACTAACTTTTTTAGTGCTACATTAGTTTTGTAATGTATTATTAGTAAATTGTCACCCCTGCGCGTCTTTAAAAATTTAATTGAATCAGTTCTCATTAATCTTAGTTCTTATTAATCTAAGATAGAAAAATAATTTTCAAACCATGATTCTGAGAAATTATTTAAATTACAAGTCAGCTATTACAGATTGGCACTTTTCCATTGGTAATAGGATCCTCAGTGGAATTCCTGCAGCTATGGCGGTCCATTACAAGGACTAGATTACATCTTTTCATTGTCTCTAGTTCTTTCCATAGTCACTAGTTCTGTTTGGCAGGGAAAGAAAGAAAGGGTTGCTGTTAGTGTTGCCAAGCAACCAAAATATGAATTACTCTGATTTCTGGATTTTTCTTGTATGATGTATATGAGAGGGTTTCTCCTACCTTGGTGAGAGACAGTCTAGATGAAGTTACTCTCCATAGCTTTAAAAATTCTAAGATTAGTAAGTAGCTTAATTTCTCCCTGTGGAGTTCCATTTTGAAACCAAAGACACCTGGGGGTTTTTTGTTCCCTGTAGATAGATATCAAAAATCACATCACAGAAGATAACATCTTCACAAGACATGAGACTGGGCATATTTTCTCCTTTTTGTTTTCTGAAATTAAATTTCTCTTTCTGAAATTGAAAGCTTGTTTTGCTTTGTTTTCACTTATATGTGATTGTTTATGCCACTACTTGTATAAAAAGAATGGAAAGTCTTGGAGTGGACAAAGATAACTTGCTGTGCCTTGGTAATCCTGCCTGCTGTTATTCATGTTTACTGCTATTTGGAATACTTCTTTTGAAGTATCTTTTCCCAACACACTTAACTGATGGTAATACTAAGTAACTGCTGGTATTTGAAAAATTATTTATTAAATTAAAATGTGTGGAAAAGATGAAGTGAGGATAGACTTAAGTGTGTGTAGTTATGGTAAGATTTATGCTTGGGGGTAGGTGAAGAGAATAAATGCTCTGAATAACTTAGCTAGGTTTTTTTGTTGTAGTTGGTTTGTGGTTTTGTTTGGTTTTGTTTTCTTTCTGATTTTGTGGTACATTCCTGTAATTTTTTACTTCTGTGCAGCTTTTTTGTTTTTCAGTGACGATCACAAATTTCCTGTAGAACTATGTGGGTTTTGGGGTCACCTCACCTGCCACATGACTAATTCATTTCCTCTCAGAGCACATGTGCAGCACAGAGCCACAGCTTCTTTCTGGACTCCTAATGTGTTTTATGTGTAGGAAGCCAGGAAGAACCCCAGCAGCAGTATGGAGAGTCCTTCTCTTTCTGCAGCCATGCAAGGCCAAGGTGTAAAACAGCAGTTGGGTAGTATCAGTGCATGGCATAGAAAATACTTTCCTCTTGACATTGGTTTTGTATCTATGTCTGCAACAGTGAAATAAAATATTTGCTCGTGTCTATACAATTGTATTTTTGAGGACTCGCTTTAAAAAATATTTGCCTATTTGATCAGACCTTGGAGTTCCCAGATATGAATCCATATTCTAACCAGGTAATTGTTTCATGTCTGTGTGAAATGAAAAATACATGAACTTTCCTGATACACAAATTTCCAAGGAGAGGAAACTTGCATGTATGGGTCAGGCAAGAGCTACTTGCTGCTCTGAAGAGGTACTTGTTGTGCATGGTTAAATGAACAGTATTCAGATTGTTTGGGGTGAATTTGAACAGGTAGCAAGGACTAGATTTTTTTTAACCAAAATTCCAGTGGATAAGAGACCTTATAGGCTAATAACACTTCAGACATGAGTCTTTCATAGGGGAAAGCTAGCAGTAGTTTGAGGAGGTGGATGTTTCTAGCTGTTTTCTTCAAAGCTGAAAACAGTTTTCCTTCATAAATGCTCATTTACTTTTGGTAAATACAAGATTAGTTTAGGTGCAATATCTCACTAATTTTTTGTTCTGTTTTAATTTTCTAAAGGAGTTGATGACCAAACTGATAACAGAGACACCTGACCAGCCAATCCCATTTCTAATTGATCATCTTCAGTCCAAACAGGGGAACCGCCATCAGCTTCAGAGAACGTTGTCTGGCTCTGCTGCCCTTTGGGCAGAGAGTGAAACATCAGGTATGTTCTGTGTGCTGGAAGGAGCTAGGCTCCTGTATAATTTTCCCACACTTTTGTCCATGATTTCCTGAGTGAACATATACCTACTGAACATGTACTACTCTATGGTTTTGAACATGCAGAATAAATCCGGTTTGTCCAGTAGATACTAAACTTAATACACGTTACTGGCTATCACCTCAGCCTGTGTACATATGATGTGAGTGTGGGTCGTAGTTACAGAGTGGAAACAGTCCAGTTCTCAATGAGAAAGTATGTACATATAAAAGTTCTTGGGTTTTTTTGCTGTCCTCTTTGCTTTCACTTTCTCTTTTCTTTGTTTTCCTTTTCCCTCCCATGGTGTATTTGTGCCAGAGATTAACCTCTATCGGGGCATTTTCTTTAGTAATACATATTTTTAACGACCTATCATTCCAACCCTTAATGAGAAGATGCTATGCTACTTTATGAATTCTAGTGTAATTTTGGATTGCAGATCTTCAGAAGCATTTAAAAATATTCTGAAAAAAATATCTGCTTTGATTGTAAAGTAGAAATCTTAGCTTTGATGTTCTGGTAAAAGCTACTATTACAATGTTAGTTTTGTGTTTAAAAATTGACTGTTTCAGACTATAGTAGAGCTTAAATAGTTGCTGGCTGATAGTCAAAATGTTGGTTAACTGACAAATCAACTTTTTATTTATATCAAATATACGATTTTAAGCATAGGTGGTAAAACTTAAGAAAATAAATGGACATTAAGGACTTCTTCATAACAAAACATAGACTTCTTTTTCATTAAAAACCTATTAATTAATTTCTAAATTTTGATATTTAGGAAATGGAATAAATATATTCAATTTAATAGAAATCAGAAAAAGAAGAAGAAAAAGAACTGTCTTTGGTTTCAACTGATAGACCTTGTGTTTTTTGGATTAATTGTTTATTAAGTCTTGGGAAAATGACCCTACAAATTTTACAACTATCTGATTTGATTATTTTAACAGAAAATAAAGGAACAAGAAGAGATTTTAGAAGTTATGATAAGCCTTGGCAGGTAAATGCAAAAAAGCCCAAAAAGTCGAAGAGCGACCTTGCTGTGTCCAACATTTCTCCACCATCGCCGGAGTCCAAGTCATGTAAGAAAGCTTCACTACATTAACAATTTGTGCATACTTTCAAAACCATAGTATGTTTTTCTGTTGAATTAGTATTAGAATGGAAAGCAAACTATGAGCAGTTGAGATGGCTGTATATGTGTTAGAAGGGTTTGATTCTTGCCTTACTCTCACTTGAATTCTGAATATTTTAAAATATCCGATGTTGTCATCTATAGATACAATAGAATTCTACATAGATGGTTTAAAAAATAGACTAATCTCTGGGTGTCATGCACAATTTTGTATTTGGATACTAGTTATGACTTGATGTTTTTATTTGCAATGCCATTTTGCATGTGTAAAATCTGTTCTGTTGATATTGGTCCTAATAACAGGTTTTTTTCAGGGGATCAGGCAATGCAAAACTGTGAATTATGAACAGCTACTGTTCAAGGTATAGGGGCAGTGTCAGCAGAACAGATGTACTGCTCTGAGAGTTGCTGGAGGAATCTAAATGTACACTGAAAGAAAAGGCAGATTAGAAATAGGGTGGCTGAAGAGAATATTGTCAATCACCTGTAAAATAGAAGTAGTAAAAATAGAGGCAACAAGCCTTAATGAAATACAATGCTTCCTGTGTACTAGCTATTGAAGAAATTTAACTTTTAAGCTTGATTCTTAATGTTCATTTTTTTCACAAATAAATATATCTACAGTTTGTCATTGCAAGGCCTTTCGGTCATCAGTGAGATGTCATAATGATTGTGGGAGGTTCCTGATAACTAGAAAAATGCAAATATCACATGGATTTTGAGGAAGGGCAAGAAGGAAATGTTGGGGACTATAAGCTGGTCAGCCTAACCTCGTTCTCTGGGAAGGTTATTGAGCAGATTTATCCGGAAGGTGTTCCTAACCACAAGAAGGAGGAAAATGTGATTGGAAACAGCAAACATGGATTTATGAGATCATAAATGTCTGAACAGATCAAAATGGTTGCCCTCTTTGGTGAAAAAACTGACCCTGTAACCAAAGAAAGAGCAGTGGATACTTAATACCTTGACTTTATAGCAAAACCTTTCTCAGTTTCCCATAGTATCCTTAAAACTCAATTGGTAAGATATGGACTGCATAAGTGGACAACAAGATGTGTGGAAAGTTGATGCAAGCTGTTAGCTTCAAGGAACTGTGGCTGGCAATGCAAATTCCAGTTGGAAAATCTATCATTACTGGCATGTTTGAGGGACTGGTACTGAGACCAATTTCATTTAAAAGAATTTCTTAATGTCCTGGATGATGAGGTAGAATGTTCTTTAGGTTTGCAGGTGAGTCCAAATTGTGGGAAGCGGTTGATAATATTCTGGGTAGCAGGGCTGCTATTCAGAGTTACAGGACTGAGGAATGGGCTGAGAGGAACCTCATGAAGTTCAACACAGGCAAATTCAAAATCCTGCATCTTGGATGAAGTAACCCTGAGCAATAGTAAAAAAGGGGAAATGAATGACTAGAAAGTACCTTTGCAGAAAAAGATGTGGTGTGCTGGTAGGCAAGAACTTGAATACGAACCAGTCTGTGGCTGTGTGCTCATGCAGCGCTGAAGGTGAACTGCATACTAGGCTGCAGTAGCAAGAGTATAGCCAGCAGTGTTTGTTTTTCACTTTTGAGATGAAAGAAATAAAAGCTGAGGGGAGATTTCATTGTCACCATCAACTACTCTGCTGGAGGATGGTATTTTAGTTGCCATCACAGAGGCTGGTTTTAGCCATGTGCCTTTTTGCCATATCTGCTTCTTATTTTCTGCCAACTAGATTAATACTGATGTTCTTTTGATGTTTTTTTTCTGGGTTTATGGCAAAATCAGTGGGTACTGTGTGCCCCTTCAACTATGCAGATCAGCAGAAAGCAAACGTGTTTAGAAGCCATTTATTGCTCTATCCAAATGTGCATAGCATATTCCATTTGTTTTGTGTCTTCTGCTTGTACCTCAAAACATTTTTGTGTGTCATTGTACATTTTTGTCCAAAGCCTCTCCAAAGAGCTAGTAGGGACTTATCTGAGAAACAGAATGTTTTCCGTCTGCTGAGACTTGAAGATTTACTCTCAGATTTGTGTTAAAAATAACAAATCCCCACTCCCAAGAACCTAAAAAGGCCCTCCCAAAACTGCCAAAACAAGCCCAAAATTTAATGGAGTCCATCAGATGTATTATGTCTGTTGCAAAGTTTTTGTCTTATGACTGTCTTGTTCAAATGATCCTGAACTTGTAAGTTTATTCAGAACTAAGAACTGTAATTTCATAGGAATCTTTGGAAACATCCAGATATTTGATTTATTTAATTAGGAAATCTTTTTTTCCTTCAACAGTGATGTTGACTGCAGTGTTCATGTTATTCCTCCAGAAATCTCACTTCCTTGTTCATTCAACGTTTTTGCTGAAAGATTCCCCCAGTCCCTCCTCCTGCCTGTTATGATCTCAGCTGCACCTGAAACACACAAATAAGAAGCCTTGGTATCTACCTGAGACACACAAATAAGAAATCTTGATATCTAAGAGGTCTGACCTCTACCTTTTGCACTTGGTGTGTGTGCAAAACCAGAATTAAGCAGAAACTGCTGCTGTTGTCTGGCAAGGAAGAAGCTTGGAGCTATGGCTCTGTGTGTGTGTGTATAAATATACTTATTGAAATGTTTAGATAATCACATTCTGTATTTGAAGAACAAATTCAGAAGTTTCAAAATAGTTTGTAGAACAGACTTCTTGCTTCCCAGTTAGACACTTTTAGGCAAAGTAGGTTGGTCTCTTCACCACCTCCATATTAAATCAGATCAGAGATCATTCACTCTGCTTCAGTTCAGCATTCTCACCACATCCCATTTGTGTTTGCAGTGTTGTGTACTTCTGGTTGCTCTTGCTCAGTCTAGAACTGTAGGCTGTCATTCTCTTAGCCTCTTAACATCCAGATACTGTGAAAACCAGTTTGGCTATATTATCAAAGAACTCTAATCTGAATGCTATTACGAGATTTAAATACATGAATAATTTTATGCTCAATAATAATATACATAGTTTTGTTCTTTGAGCTGAAGGTGATCATATAATGTATTAATGATATGTAGGATTTAATGAGTAACTAGTCTGATTTTGTCTGCAAATCATGTCTTGAAAAGACATATATGTGTAGATAAAACCAGTACTGATCTTGTACTATCATCCAGTACAAAATAAAGGTGTACTGATTTGTGACAGAATTCACAACACACCTGTGAATGAATCTGATGTGTGTTTGTTGGCAGGGCACACTACCAGAACATCAGAAATACTGGCAAGTGTGTCTTTCCGGTCTCCTAAGATGAGATGGGGAAATGTCAGCTCCACAAATGGAAACCTTACGTATTTCTATACAAAGGGCTACAATGTAGGTGTAATAAATTTTCTGAACTGTAGGCAAATAATTTCATGAGAAAGTGTTCTATAATATATAAATCTCTCAAATAACAGAGATGAGGTTGAGGTGGGTACTGTAATGAGGGATTTAAAATTACTGATATGACAACTTTGAGGAATGGGTGAGTATAATAAAAAAAATGAAGGTCAGAATATAATGAAAGGATTTTACTAAGTGTGTAGTGACATATGCACATAAATGATTATGACGGGCTTCGTACCTACCAATGAGGATCATGTATTTGAAAAGATTTGAAAGAAGGGTCGTATGGGCTTTTTACAGTTCTGCATGCTTCACACAAAGCCATCCAATTGAAAATGACCAGTGCTTGTTGATCCTACAGTTGAGAAGGTACAAGTGTATACTTCAGAAACATCTGTAAGCAAGCAGAAAATGAACTTGAAAGGACAAACACGTGCCACATGATATAATTAAATAATTTTTAGTATCCATTCATTATTTGGAAGAGTAGGTAAGTAAGAAGAGCTGTGTGGTCTCTAGAAGTAATAAAAATTTCAGTCAGTTCTAATTCTGTTTAACTTTTCCCTCAGTTCTGGTTCAGTTATAGAATGAGCCAAACTCATTGTTGAAATAAATTCTATTGAAACTTAGGACTGTTTTGGTACATTTTCACTGAAGTGCAAAATGATTCACTGAAACACAGCTGACAGATAGTAAACCACCATGCAGAGCAAATTTCCACTGTGTTTTTGACTGATTTCCTACCATCCATCTAGTGAGAAGTAGTCTAAGCTTCCTGTGATTGTAGGACATTTCTCTGAAACGAGGGACCAAATCACTGTGTCTTGAGCAAGTGTCTGTACCTTTCAAGGATAGAGTCTTGATACTCTCATTTTCCTGGTGTGAATTGGTCCATATACTTGGCAGTTGCTGATACTGGAACTCCACAGCTGTAGAGCAGAACTTATGCCCTTGTTTGTTTCATCCAGCTTCTGTGCCATGACAAATTTTGCTTTAAGATCATGTGGTTTCTCAAAAATTCTGTCCTTTTGTATTTTGAAAAATGTGTTTTGTTTCAAACTGACATGATATCAAATTCTAGCTTGTGGAAATTTTCTGCAATGCTCTTGGATTTGGTCATCTTTGTACATGGTTTTACTATATTAAATTGTTGCCTGTTTGTATTTTGGTGGTACTGTGAGATTTTTATGCTGTGGTGAGTTCAGTATAAAACATGGAAAGAAAAGTCTGTCATACTGCGAGTGATGATGTAGAATATAGTTTTGGCACGCTGAAGGGAGATGGTAAGATGACTGAAAAAGCAGGCATTAAAGGAGCATATGACCTCAATATAAAACACAGGTGAGTGAGAATAGAGAGAATTTATAGAATTCCTTTTCTAGTTTACTAAATATTTATCTTTGCAATTAGAAAAAGTTTAGAAAAAATACTAAGTGGAACATTTTGTAAATAAGAAAAAGGATGAGAAATACTGAAGTTGTGCTGTTTAATTTATATATGCTAGGATCTGTGAATGGAGTAAATTTTTTCACGCAAAAATTTACATAACTTTTAATTGACAGAGCAGTTCCTAAACCAGAGAATGATAAAGTAGTAGTAGTAGTAGTTGGCATTTATAAATATCAACAAAAATTTCAAGCTGCCCATCTGACGAGAGGCTATTCCTATTCTAATACCTGTATCTATTCACAAGAAACCACTATGCCTCATTATTTCCATTGTCCTCAGAAGGAAATATATTACTTGTCTTTTCTGAACACAGAGCAGAATCAGACTCTGACACGATAACTTGCCCTTCTCTTCCCTCCTCCTTATTGAGAGTTTGTGTGTCCCTTTCCTCCTATTCTTATCTCTGTAGGTCTTTTTTAATGTCTCCTTTGTCTTCTGTCTTTGAGAATGTCTGTAATTGCAGTCTAATATATTAACTAATAGTTACTCAGGTTCCTGAATGGGTGTTACAGATCAGGATATACTGTGGTTTTCAGACTCTCATAGATGTCTGGTTTGAAGATGACTTGGTTTATGTGGAATCGTGTTCATTCTGAAAGAAGGACTTTAACATAACATTGTCCTATTTCTTTACCAGGAAAATATGACTATTGGTTTAACTTCAACCTTCCCTGTTGGAGTTGATTCAAGTAGAGAAGAGTCTGTATTCACACAGAGGAAAGTCAACAATAAGGAAAATTTCATTAGCAATTTTTTAACACATTTTGTAATAGCTAGCAGTGATGTCTGAGGATAATTTCCCCACACCATCATAAAAGCACTCTGAAATTCCAAATTATCATATCACCTTTTTTTGCACAATCTGTAGGAGTCCTTCTTAGTAAGTTTCCTTCTTAGCATGTAGTGAAAATGAAGTTTGTAAGCATAAATTAGTTGAAAACTGTCAAAATAGTAAACAAAAATTTCAAAGCTGTCCAGGATGTATTGGACATTATAGGCTTTTCTTTGAAGTTATTTTTAAGTGAGTAGTTAGCAACTACTGATAAATGCAACTGGTCCTTTCTAGTGGGAAGGTGGACTAGGCATCATCATCTTCACACCAGCATGTGCAGTTCTCAGCATGGGACTCCTATGTTTGGAGACCATCCAACAGTTGCATTTGGTGGCAAAGGCAGTAGATTGCTTACTTCTGAACACTGGCAAAAAGAACATGTTAAACTGCAGTTCCAGAAACAGCATAGTTTTTGTTTTTATTTCTACAAATTGTTCAATGCAGCTCTGTTCATTGTGCGTCCTACATATCTCAGACAATCCTTCTCTTTGTTGTAGGTAAAGTTAGCTCAGCAGTTGAGAAACTGTTATTTCAAAATTAAATCAAAGGCCTTGGTAATAGATAATGAGCAACTGACTGTAAGCTCAGGACTGTGCTTCCCAAGGACTGAGTTTGTTTAAGTAGAGAAATAAAGATTGCAGTCTGTACAGCATGGATGATAAGGACATATTTTGTTTCACTGTTTTTAATTAACTGTGTTATCTACACTTCATGATTTTTGGAATAAAAAAAAATGTTGTTTTAAAAGCTGTATCTAAAATATTTTTTTTTTCTTACTGATAAAATACCTAGCAAAGCCAAAAGTACCAATAACTCATTTTTGTTTTGACATTCTTCCTTATTGACCCCTAGGCCACACAATTCTATTCTCTTGTAAATGAAGTAGATTCACATGCAGTAGTTTAAATACATTTTTATTGCATTAATTGTATTATTTTTGTTATTGTTATAAATTATTCCTGTTTACCAATTAATTCTATGCCAAGAATCATCCCAAGAATGCATTTGTTCATAGATGTTTTCATTTTCACTTTACATTGACCAAAAAAAATATTTCCAACTGTTAAAATAGAAGATAATTAATTTCCACTCAAGGTACTTGAGTTTGTAAACTCATTGTGCAGCTTTTTTTCTACTGTAGGAGTCTGAACTGCCAAATCTAAACTTCATCTATATATCTGTGTATATTTAGTGCCAAGGTCAATAGAGCATCCTAAATGGGATTGGAAGACAAAACCGGAGAACCATGATTTTGATGAACTAAATCATATTCTTCAAGAGAGCAAAAAACTTGGAAAAGCCCTTGAGAATCTGTCTCGCAGTAAGTTCATTGATTTTAGTTTTTTGATGTAACCATGCAGCCTGAATTGTCATTTGGAAGTATATACCAGGAAGGTGTCTTCTATTCAGTGAAGACCAGGTTCATTGACATCAGCAGTTACATTCCTGTTGATAAGGTATACAGAATGTCTGAGATAATTCAGTAGCCCTCCTGGAAACTGAAACTGCACTCCTTTATTTTAGTTTTCTGCTGGTTAGGTGAGCTGAATTAGCTCATAAAGAGATCGACAGAAGAGGCTGGTTTAATGGAAATGGTGGGAACATGCAGCAGGGAGACTGCTTCTTTGGGTGGTAGCAGTTGTATTAGATTAACCTTTGTAAAACTTTGGCCTCATTGATGGAGTTCAGACCTATCATTGAAAAACAATTAGCTATCTTTCATCCTTGACTCCAGTCAGTTTCTTCCAGTTTTCAAAGCAATTAAAATATTTTAAAGCATCTCAAATAAATACTCAGAAACATGAAATCCAATTATTTCATAATAAAAGCCACATATTATCCCTTACACACTTTTTTTTTCTCTCTTTACTGTAGAAGAGAATTCTGAAGTACATTTGGGGGAACAAATATTACTAACAGTTATTAAAGTATGAAAAGTACTCCTTGCCGTGGTGCATAAAAAACTAGGAATGGTGTGATTTGGGAGATACTTGAAAGAGAAATATTTTTTTTCATCTCATTAAATTTTATCCATGGCAATTCTTCATTCACTGGAGAATTTGCAGATGGTGAGATCAGAGACAGAGCTGAATGAAAAATGGAAGATCTGTTTTGAGGAGAATTTTGAGAGCCAGCATTTTTCAAAATTGTGCCAAATACCCAAACTGGTTTGCCCAAATTCCCTCTCTCCCAAATGTTTTAGGTTGATCACAAGAATTATATTCTGAGAAATTTTCATATTTATATTAATGGTAGTAGTATAGTTATAGGGCTTTTTTCAAATACACTTCTAGTAAATCAATCTATATGCTTGCGAGGAGCTAAACCAATTCCAGTCAGGATCTTTGATTTGTAGCCTCACTATTGCTTGACCATTTTACTGTGATGGGTGTGAGTGTACTTTTCAAGTCTTTTTTCTTTAGAGACTTGTAACCAAGCTTAACACAGATACAGAAACAATTATTTTCAGTTTCAGAAAGGATTATTTAATCACTGTCAGGAGATACAAACCAATCAGATATGAGAGTTCAGTAATTAATGGCTAAATCAGCTCTTCAGTCTATGTCTTTCCTACTGAATATTGTGTAGATTCCACACAATCTAGCTTCCTTATCCCTAAAATACAATTTGCAGCATTCTGTACCTCTCTTTGTCACAGAGTTTTCTGACCAGAGTGGAAAACACTTCAGCTCTTCTGGGTCTTATGCTTGAACCAGGTCAATGTACCTGGTCAGCGTTGTTACAGGCCAATTTTCACAGTGTTATTTCACAAATGAAATATTCTTCACTGTTTCTTGCTAGTATTTGATGTTTTCTGAGGGTTTATCAAGATAGTACGGAATTTGAATCCCAGCCCTCAGAGCGCTTTAAATCACTTGGAGCCTGATAATAAGTTCACTTTTATGAATGTGCTCTCTATTTCTTCATCCAGATCATTAATGGAAATATTGTCAGACCTCTTCATGATCCCATTTCAAATCTGACAACCAGCTCTTGAAAGCTACTCAGTAAGTGCATTTTTTCCCACCAGATGTTTATCTGCCTTGCAGTGATTTCACCCAGAATGTAGTTTTCTAGTTTTTTTTTTTTACTAGAGTATCATTCAGGACAGTAAACAAAGTCACATAGCTGAAGTATTTTGCATCTGCTTCCTCCTCTTATCCACTAGGCAAGTTTCCCAGTTGAGAATGCAATTAGACTGATGTGATGCATTTCATTCTTGATAAATTCATGTTGGCTCGTTCTTACCGCCTTTCTATTCCATTGGATGTTGATACATTGTTTATTTAACAGTTTTCTCTAAGATTTTTGCTATTTCAGTCTGATTTAGGCTTTCCCACATCTTCCTTTTTTCCTTTTTCAAGAAAGATATGGTATTTGCCCTTTTCTGTCCTCTCTATTCCTGAAAGACTGTTGCTAATGGATAAGAGGCTTCTTCAGTTAGTTGAGTGCTCTAGAGTGAATTTCACAAGATTCTGCCAACCTGAATGTATCTAAGTCATCAGAATATCTTTCAGCTTTCACTAGTCTGGCTTGCAGATTTTCCTCTTAAAATCACTAGTGTTAAGCATCTGGCCACAATTAATTTTTTGTTAGACTGAAGCAGTGAAAGTACTGAACACTGGGAATTCTTTGTGCCATCTCTTATTTGCTTTCCTTCTCTTTGATGTAATAGTTCTGCATTTTACTTTGTCCTCCTTTCCTAGTGTATTTATAGTATCTTTTCTTGTGACTTCTTTTGTTCTTTGATAGTTGTTAGTTACTCTGTGCTTTAACCTTTTTGTTTGTATCATTTAAACACTTGCATCAGATTAATTCTAAGACATATGTCCTTGTTTCTAGGTTTCGTATTGCTGATTTTAAGTTCATTCCAGGAAATAAAATTTCTTTTCTGTGATTTCTTTCATGTCAGCACGATAAAAAATCAAAATGAAAAATGTGAAATCTGTAAAAATAGAAGATATGCTATTTTGAAAATAAATGTGTTGTTATTGTTCTCCCAAATACAGAATACAGATCGCACATTGAAATTTCTTAGGGGGTTTCAATGAACAGGCATGTCTAGGACTTTAGAAGTATAAGACACATGAAACTTATTCTGTGCTGTCCCCAAACAAATGTCCCATGTGATGAATTTTATGAAAGCCATCACAAGGTCCCATATCTACTTTCTCCAGTGTTGATGCTTGTTTTGGGAAGGCTAGTCAGTGCTTTTGATTCTACAAGCATGTTATGAGTCTAATGCTGCATTTGATACTAATCTTGTTTGGAAGCAGTATGGGACAGGCACTGTGCTCAACAGATAGCTGAGTATGCAAATGATCACAATGTACTATCAGCGGCTTTGTACTGCGCCCTCTCATTTCATTCTTCAGTATTTTGACAGGGAAATGTGACACATAAAATGAGATGTTTGAAGTTAAGTGAATTTTTCATCACGTCCCAGAATTTGTTTACATTTTTAAAGATAAGCTTTGGATCTTGTAGTGAGTTTCCACGACTTTGTTGCCTGCTATGCAGCTGACACAGCCTGTGAGTTAAACTCTAGTTGCTTCATTTACTACGCAGTCTAGGTACCTGCAATAATATTATGTCAGATTTTCCTACATGCATGTTATGTCTAATGTGGTGGAGGATGCTATGCAACTTGTGCACTTCACACAAAATTAGAACTGCCTGTAAGTGTTGGAAGGTGAGACTCAGGCACTTAGATGTCTGATCTCTTGTGTATTCAGTCCTAGTGATTAAAACTGAACTTGCTTATATTTGGACCCCTTCTCCCAAGCCCCAGCAAAAAAAAATGTGAGTAATTCTGTGCTGTAGTAGATCTGAGAAACCAACAGTGACTTCACACACAGAGTTAAAAGCATCTTAAATGTTTTGAGAGTCTGAAGAAGATTATTGTTGTAATTATGGTCTAAGCGTGATGGAACTTCATGATTTAAATATACCATTTTTTCAGAGCCCTACCCACTTGTAAAAGCTGGGTTTTGTTTGATTCTCCAGTCAACTGTATGTCATTGAAGTCGATTTGGAACTGGATTTAGGGGAGATTTTGGTTTATGAAGCAACATATAGGAATGTACTGCATTTCCCTTGTGCACATCTGATTTTCTTTTATTGCAAGGTCTCTTACCTTTACTGCTGTCATCTTTCTTCTTCTGCTGATCATAAGGAATAAAAGTTCCATGTATGCTCTTGTATTTCAACTTCTGGCCTTCAAAGAGAGTTAAAATCTCCCATATAGCTAAGGATCTTGCTAATGAATATGCCTGTCTTCACCCTCCATTTTTTGCGGATGCAAAAATAGATAACGAGATGGAAACCAGTGAAGGTTTCGAGTGGGGAAAAAATGAGGGCTAAATTAATGAGAGCTTGGTGCAATTAGATGTGAAGTCTGTATACCTTGTGAACAACTTTGCATCTTTTAAACAAAAAGTTAAGGATTAAAGTGCATATTGAAAATGTATGCATATTGGAGATTCAATTTACAGATGGTAACAGCATTTGATGACACAATGTCTTCTGCTGTGAGATAGATACTTTTTCATAATTACATGTAACCTTTTAATGAAGATAACCAACGTTTTGTTAGTAACATTTGAATCCTTATTCAGGCTAGGTGTATACTACAAAACAGGCATTTTAAGGTCAGAAAATGGTAGTAAGTTAACATTAACCAAAAGTATTTGGTAATGAATCCAAATCAGTTAGTTGGAGGGAATCCCAGAAACAGTGGTAACAAACAGGAAAACAGTATTCTTTCATTTCTTAATTTCAAAGGGGATTAATTAATAAATAATCAGTAAATAAGGAAACAATGTGCAGTCTAGTAGGAAATATTGCTTGAAACCATAATGAATTATAGAATCACAGAATGGCCGAGGTTGGAAGCGATAACTGGAAGTCAGCTGTTCCAAACCTGCTGCTCAAGCAGGCTCACCTAGGGCCATGTGTCCAGGCTCTTCAATGCCTCTAAGAATGAAAAATCTCGAGTCCCTCCAGAGTATCTCAAACAGTTATTTATCATAATGTTAGAATCATTTGATATTGTTTATGCATAGGTTAAGAAAGACAAACACGATCTTACCTCTTTAAGAAAAATATTAAATAGTGAAACTAAAAGCATGTGTTCTGTTTATCTTTTACAGGGAAGAAGATAAGCAACAAGAGTAAAAATCTCATAACAACAAGGGTAGAACTAGTTCTAAAAAAGATCACAATATGTTAACAACCACTAAAATCATGTCCTTAGTTTTATGGGTGAACCTGCAAGTGTGTGGGATGTGAGAAGCTTAATATATACATCATGATCTACTT